TGAATCGAAAATCTAGGCTGAACGTGACTACGGTTAATGCCATCGCTAAGAATGAAGACATTGAGCAATTCTGGTGCTTAGAACGAGTAGGAATAGAAGCACCGTCAGATATGACTTCGGACAACCATGCCCTCAAGAGATTCTCAGAGAGTGTCGAGGCATTGGAAGATGGACGATACGAGGTTGAACTGCCATGGAAAACGAATCAACCAAAATTACCAAACAATCTTGGAGAGGCTTTCTGACGCTTGAAATCAATAGTGAATAGCCTCCACAATCATCCGGAAGGAGATATTCTCACGAAATACGACAGGTTGATTAGACAACAATTAGATAGTATTATCGAGAAAGTAAAATCTCCTCCAGAAAATAGCGACAAGGTGTCGTATTTACCACATCATCCGATAATCACACCATGCAAAACCACAACCCAAATAAGAACTGTTTTCGACTCCAGTACGAAAGATTCTAATGGGAAATCTTTAAACGACAATCTTTTCAGAGGTCCTATCTTATTAAATGATTTGACAGGAATACTGATAAGATCCAGAACCCTCTCGACAATAATTACAGCTGATATAGAGAAGGCTTTCTATCAAATCGACCTCAAGTCACAAGATCGAGAAGCAACACGAGGGACTTCCTTGGACGAATTACAGCGAAACAAAATCTGGTGGCATGGACCCCTATGGCTGTCACGAGACGAACAACATTGGCCATTACAATTACAAGTCGAAAACACTCGTATGATACGAGAGATTGAAGGGGAAGAAGTAAACAATGTTCAACATACAAAGGAAACAAACGCAACGATCGTCATGCAAAAGAATTCGCATGAGACACAACAATCTATTATTGATTTTACTAGGTTCAATTCATACAAATGACTCAGAAGAATTCTGATATGTTTTCTCCTATTTATAAGGAAAGTAGGAAACAATAAATATAACAAAGGTGTGAAATCAGATGGTTCGATATCAAGTCAAGAAATTCATTATGCAGAACTAGTGCTTATACGGCAAGGACAAAATGAAAGCACACGAGCAAAGGATTTGAAGAAATTTGGCTTGGCACTAGAGCACGGTTTATGGATAATGAAAGGGAGATTCGATAGGAGTCTTGTTTTTCTGCCACGAAACAATCCTCTAACGAAATGAATTATTATGGAAACCCATCTCAACTTACTGCATGCTCCAAATGATACAGTGGTGTGTAAATTGACTGAAACCTACTGGATCCCCAAACGGTTTCAAACGATAAAAGGGACGATTCACAAGGAGTTTCCAATGTAGACGAATGAGAGCCAAACCATTTGCTCTACCCAATATGAGCAAATACCCAAAGGTAAGAATCGAGCGAAGCGCGCCATTCACTCATATAGGAGCAAATTTTTCAGGCTCTGTATGGATAAAACACGAAGACAAAAAGGTAAAACGATGGATAGTGCTATTCACATGCATGGCGACAAGAGCGATACATTTGGAGATAGTAAATAGTTTATCAGAAAGTTTCTTACTGGCGTTACAAAAGTTAATGGCTATACGAGATAAAACAAGAACGATAATGTCCGACAATGCGAAGAATTTTGTTTTGTCACAGGAAACAAGCAAGAAAATTCAAGCGGATATTGCCGAAGAAGAGATCGAGTGGAACTTCATCCCGAAATATGCCCCATGGGCGGGGGTGTATATGAACGATTGATTGGTATAATAAAAACAACGCTGAGCGTGATTGGAAAACAAACAATGGATGATGAAAATTTTCGAACTATAATATATGAAATAAGAGCGATTGTGAACGAATGACCACTCTGCTACTGTACAAGAAATAATCTTGAATATTTAAGCCGAGAGATTTAATGTTAGAACAACAACCACCTTGGATGTTTCAAGCTGAAAATATCCATAAGGAACTCGAATTGACACGAAATGCAAGGAGAGAAGATTTATTGCGGAATTGGGCAATCGACATAAAATGTTTGGACTATTTTTGGAAATTATGGCCGATATCTGCAAAGTTTATTAGACGAAACATTCCACGAACGAGATTGATGACACTTCGTCAACCTAAAGAGGGGGAAGTTGTCATATTAATCGACACTATGCCCAGAGCTCAGTGGAGAATAGGAAGAATTACCGAATTGGTCCGAAATTCCGATGGCAAAATATGATCGGTTTCATTAACATTGGCTAACAACCAGACAACGAGTCGACCAATCAAATTAATAGCTCCATTAGAGATAACTGATGACGTCGACAAAGAGAAACGATACGAATTTAGCTAACAAAGGCCCCTCCGGAAGTGTGCTCAAAAATGAGCAGAATCGATGAAGACCAACAAAAGCGTGGCTGAGACCGCAATTTTGTATCGATTCTTCTCCTTTTTGGGGAACAAATTATTATTTTATTTGTGTTGGTAGGTGAGCGGCAAGGGTTCGTAGGTAAGCTATTTATCGCTCGATTTTTTTCTTATTTTGATGAGTATTTTTGTTTGTCATTGTTTTTTTTGTCCTTGGTTATATTATAATGTAATATATCGTCATTTATAACATATCATGTTGTAATTATATTGTTATCTAAATAAAGGTTTAATTACCCAAGTTTAAGGCACGCGGCAAACGATCGAGTTACGATTACGATATCTTTTTTAATGGAAAGGACAAACGAATCCCTTTTTTCGTTACAATAGGTGAAAAAAAAAGAATGGGTTCTATTATTATCAGCAATAGCATCGGATCAAACAGCTTAGAAACGGTTTATTTTTGTAACCAGCGTAACCAGTAACAGTGAAAGTTGTTAGAAGTACCTAACAGCATGAACTTGTTACAATGAAGTAATCCAAAATACCACATTAGATTAACATACATTACATGGTTACATTAAACTGGATTGGATCAAGTGCCTGCTCTAGCCTGAATTTAAACGCTTCTGACAGGCTGAAGCTCGTCTGCGAGAAATCATAATTGCGAGAAATTCTTCAATCTTACTTTTAATTACTCGAATAAGTCCTCTTAATTGCGCCATCGCACTACTGCTAAATCAAGCGAACGTTCAAATTTTTTCCCTTCATTATATCTGTATCTAATCTGTATTTTTGATACCATTCACAAGATTTGGCTTATTTGTGCCCTTTTCTGGCATAAATGTGAAGAACATTACCTAAAACCAGCGTAAGCCAACGAGTAGTTTACTCATTATTCTATTAGTGTACATAATACAAAGATACAAAAATGCATAGATCACAACAGATATAATGCACTATTAACGACATTATAATACAATGGTACAAAGTGTCAGATACATCGAGGCAAGATTCTACCATATCATACGAGATTTCAAGGTGGAGAGTGTAAAAAAGCTTTAGAAATTATCGAACAGGAACAGAAAACACTGTAAATACACATTCTGACACTGTAAACATTGTACTGAAAGGCACAGCCAAGTGACTGGCATTATCTATAGAAATATCTGTTCAACATATGGCTTATATTCTCCCAAGACTATATGCAAGATTCCCCAGAAAATTCATGGAGAGTAGTAAACAAAATCAAGAGGAAAATGAGGATCAAGACAGTTCCAGCAGTAGCACTGGCTGTGTGACCCGTAAACTAGAAAAGTGGATTTAACATTGTTCCAGGAATAATATTAAAGATCTGTCCAGAAGAGCAATGCGCAGAACCCTCAGTCTCCACGACATATGGCAGAGGAGCTGAGGTACTTTTTCATTTTAACATTTTGCGATGCAATGAAGGTGGGAAATAAGTGACTTTTACTTAGATATTTTTCTTTTAACAGTTCTCCTTCCTTTCTATTAACTTATTATGTAATTCACTGATAAAAGTTCAAATACTACTACCTGCAGACACTGCAAAACTAAAGTAAAACACTTATAAAGTGCTAAACGAAACACAATTCTGCTCTAACTCGTTTTGGCTGGCTAGTGCGAATTTTTAACTGTCGGCTTTTTGCGGCCCCATACGTATATGTTTGCCAGAGATTTGGCAGCCGCTGAAGCAGATGCTTGTGTCGGGCAACATTTTATTTGTAATTTTGTCATCCTTTTCATTTGATGTCATGTTTGATTTTCTATTTTACGAGTTCTAGAGGTTATTTTTGAGAAATTCTTCTTTTTCTGGTGCGGCAAGTGAGAATAATTCGTGCAAATAGATTGCAATACTTTAAATGTTATTGATTACGTAAATGGAGAAAATGGTAATAAATTTTGAGCGCGAGGCATGAAACATTAAGCGGTAACTGTGAAGAGATGGACGAGCGTTAAATTGCTCTTCTGCACTCCATTCGATTGCTGAGATTAAAGCAAGTGAAACGCCGCTCGATGTTTCTTCTCCGCAACTCACCAGAAATGGTGGACGCTTTCAGAAGACCGTGAATAATAGCCAATTATATTTTCAGTAAACGGTGATTCGAGTCGTTGTTTAAAGTTTTTTATTTCATATCAATGCTGTCAATTATTGCAAAACTTATTTCAAAATTATTTCGTAACTCTTCAATTGATTTTCGAAATTTAATAAAAAATAAAAGTAAAGAAGGGAATCTTTTTCGTTTTTCAGTGCGAGGACATTTTCTTGAAAAATTTTTGATGGCACAACATCGAAGAGGTCATTTTGATGAACTAACTTTTGCATCGTTTACAACTTTGTCGATATTACAACTAATCAAAGAAGCTCAGCAGAAGCATGGCTTGCGTCATGCTGATTATCAGCGATATCGGTTTGTTTTTAGCAATTGTATTGATGCTGTTTCGTTTGTCTCTTTAATGAATACAAAAAAATTTTTTTTCGTGCTTCCGAAAAATTAATCTTCATTTGGACCAAATCTTCCACATTATTTCAGTTTATATTTTTTTAGTTCATTTTTTTGTCCGTCAAAATACTTTTTTCAGGATACTTTTTTAAAAGTAATTTTAATACCTTCACAAATGACCAATTTGCAACCTTTGATCATTTTTGTTGCATTTGTTAACGTTAATAAATTTCAGTGGTTATTGCTCACGTCGTATTCGGCGTATCCGCAAATCATTGGGATTTACAAATTTGCATAAAAGTATTCCCAAACACCCCGCAAAATTTATACATCGCAAGCTCACTGCAGATATGATTTCTGAGGAAAAGTATGCCTTTTTTATAATATCAATAATAGAAAAGCTTATTTTAAAGAAGTGAAGAAAGGAAAATATTTCATTAAAAAAAGATATGTTGTAAATGGAATAAATCCAAAAAAAACTTCTTTTTATGTTCAAAAACGAATAAAATTTCGATTTCCTCATTTTGTGGTTAAAATATAAAGATAAATTTGAAATTATTGTATTAGATATCTACAAATCGCAGTTTTCGAAGCTGAGAGATGTTGGTCATATGCAATGCAATATAAACAAGAAATTGGTGAAGATATCCATTCTCGTAAACGGTTCCACGTTATATCGAAATTGAAAAGAGCTGTTTCACATACTAAAAGTTTGGAAGCGATTGTTAAAATATGTGATCAGGTGAATTTATTTTTATTTATTTTTTGATATTTATTCACCTTGATCACTTGGTTTATCTTTCAGTAATTATTTGGTGATTTCTAGGCTGATGTTGCCACAAAGCTCGAATCACAAGCTTATAATGCATGGATGCATGGTTCATTGTTTTTTGAATTGAAGAAATGGAAGAGTGCTTTAGATTATCTAAGGATGGCCAAGTAATTTTTTTCCACTTAGCGAAAATTTTCTGTTTTATTTTTTATTTTCTATTTTTTGATCAGTGGTATTATTTAGCTAATCGTTTCTGAATATTTAAGAAATTTTCATTCTATTTATAAGTACTTGACTATAGCAACAAATTTATTCCTGTTTAAAGGACAATTTATCTGAAATTGGAAGAAGCAGTTAAGGTAGACAATATGACCGAATTGTACGATGTCAAGTTAGTTTTGATTTTTGCTTTAATTTTAACTTTAAAAATTATTTCTGTGAATATTTTTGAGCATGATTAGTAGCTATGGTTTACAGTATAGAAGTATATAGAAGTATAAAAACTAATGATATTCGATTATTTTGTCATTTGATCGATATTAATGAGAAAAATTTTTAGGTGTAAAGAAATTCAGGCCCAGCTTCGCTACTGTGAATTCAATTGTGCAGATTATATGGAAAATAATGAAGCAATGTCTGAAATATTAAGTATAAAGTTGAAACTTGGGGATGATGATACTTTGCAAGATGATTTCAACGTAAGTTGAAAGCTATTTAAGATATGATCTTGTCATATTAAACAGATAGGCACATTATTGATTTTGTAAAATATGGTGATGCCATTTTAAATTTATTTTGTGATAGTTAATATTGAAACATAAAGTAAATTGGTGAAGCAGCATAATACTATATTCTGATATATTTATATTTATTGTATTGGAAATTTGGAAAAAATTGTGCATAATTCAGTTTTCAAAAGTCATCAACTTATAAATCATTTCTTGCATTAATATAACATATTGCATATCTTGCGTAAATATAATATTTTAAATCAAATAGCTTTTAACACCTTACAGGGATCAAGGGGAGGTGTAAGGTCTTTCTTTGTTATTTTATCAGAGATAAGTAGCCATTATCTTGCAAAGCTAAATGAGGGGTTTTTTGTTTTGTTATCTTGTGTTTTTCTTATGACTTTATTTAGAAATTAATTACGGATGTTCGCAGCAAAGCACTTATCGACCAGCCTGGTGAAATATATTGGGCATCCAAGAAAATAATAATAACAAATGGTACCATCAAACAGTTGCTAACAGCTATCGATCAATTCGATAGGCAACTTGCGATGGTTGATTCTTGCGAAGACAAGGCAAAATTTGATTGTTTAAAAAGTTGTTTACGATGAAATATTTTCGTTTACAAATGCATTCAATTATGCAAATATTTAATTGCAGGTTGCAGGTGCTTCTATTTTTTTTTTTTAATTTAATTTAGATGGCATTATATGAGCAAATATTGGGCAACATTCGTGATGTCATCCAGTCATTAAACGACGAGCCAAAAAAAGATGAAACTGATGGTGTTCAAGCTTCTATGCAAGACATTTTAGCTTTCTTAGATTTTATTCGCTTGAGCAAAACCGTCGAAAGATATCTTTTCATTATAAAATGTGCAAGGTTATATATTCTTTATTTTAGCTGAAAGTTTATTTTCTTCCTAAGAATAACGAAATTGTTTTAAATTTTTTGAAAAATTAGAATAAATAAGGATGAAATAAAAAACTTTCCAGATCGCAGGAAAGAAACGAACGTCCACAAAGTTTGATTCGATTATATGACACGGTTCTAGAAAATTGTAAAGAAATAATCAAGCTGCCTGGCGTAGATAATAGCACAGATTTGGTTGATGCTTATAGTCTTAAAGTAGAATATTACCGAACGTTACGGTTAGTTTTGGCTATCTTTATTCATATTGCATATTTATTTAAACGCGCGCAATGGTTTTTATAAAACAGTAAGGCGGCTTTGATATTGTAAAGATATCGTCAGGCCCATATTAGAAACAAGCATCAAAACCACAGATTATTTCATGTCAAATCAGAAACTGTTCCTGAAAATTTTTATTTCGATCAATCTTATAACCTCTATGGTGCGATAGTCATGTAGTATTGTTAAAGATATTGTTTAGCTTTCTTTTAAAATTATGCAACAATTGCTCATGAATATATCATACGACAATTTATTCCAGTAGTTATGATTTTTCAACTTAATGCTAGGCTTTAGAATCTAGTGATTTCCCACTATCTAATTACATCGTTCAGATTCAGGCACTGAGATTACAATGCTTGATACAGTTCAATTTACGCATCCGTTTAAAATTTTGTATGTTCTGCTTCAAATTCTCCATATTTTTTCTCATTCATGATTAATTTTAGTTTTGCCATATAGTTAATGTTACTGCTAAAGTTCGATATTATATAGAAAATATTTTAATTCCTTAATAAATTTATTCGATTTATAATATTATATAGATGGATGACAGGCTATGTTGTTTTTAAATAGAAAAAGATTTCCCTTATATTTTTAGATCGAAACATAAAATCCAGCATTCTGGAGGACTTCTATATTTTTTTGTTTATAATGAAGGTCAAAATCAAGATTTTCGTGTACAGTTATGGTATGGTAGAGAATTGCACTTTCTTGTATGTAAATACATCATTTATATGAAATGTATGAAAATACATCGCTTTTTTTGGACAATTTGCTTTTTTTGAAACCATTTAGCCATTTTTTAAAAATTATCTTTTGCCGGGTTTATCCATTTAAATTATCGATCCGATGCACAATTGTAATAGATTTTACAATTGTCAGCATAGAAGTAATGGAATCCAACTTTAATAACGCCATTTATATGCGTTTTAAAGAATAAAGACTATTAAAACTGACGAGGCATTTCTCATTAGACGAGCACCAAATTCTCGGTAATAAATGCCAATTGCTTCTCGTATTTCTCAGTATCAGTTGCTGCGATTTCACGTTTTTGAGAGTTTTAGGATATGAAATTCTTTTTAGTTGCCATCATGTAAAAAAAGAAAAAAAAACTCATTAATATAAGTGATAAGGAATTCAAATAAGCAAGTAATATGAACAAATGAATAATAAATAATATTAATGGTAAATGATATCAAGAAAAGTGATAGAACATACTGCGACAATTATCGAGGAATCAGCCTACTAGATGTCTCAGCGAAAATTTTTGCTTCCCTTTTACTCAACAGAATTATAGAAGTACGAGGCAGCAGGATGCGACCTAATCAAATTGCATTTAGGCGGGGCGCGGTTGTGCTGTTCAGATGTTCACGTTAAGGAGAATGTTGGAACATCGCTTCAGATATATGCAACCCACTGTAACGTGTTACTCTGCGGCTGCATTTGATTTAATTGATAGAGTGGCGCTTTAGAGGGTGATGGAATACGATGGTATTCCAGAAATCATTCAAGTCATAAAGGCATTTTATGAGTGTACATCGGCGGAGGTCTGTGTATATGGAGAATTGACTGAATTCTTCTAATAAAAAGTGGTGTCTTCAAGACTGCGTCCTTTTCTCTGCAATATGCAATAAACTGGATAATGGACCGCTCGTCGGCGCTCAAGAAATGTCCAAACCGGTCCAAAGTATCGTATCAGAGATCTTGAATACGCTAATGATGTAGTGATATAGTCCTTTTTGCTGACAGTTATGACGAAATGCAAATAATGCTAAATAACGTGTCAATGACTGCAGCGAGAGTCGAACTCACAGTCAATGTAAATAAAACGGAAGCCTTTTCGTGCAAGAAGCTGATAAAATGCCTCTTTTTATAAATTTATTATCGATTGAGGAAGAGCCCGATTTTAAATACCTTGGGTCCATTCTAATACCAAATGGGCAGGCAAAAGATGATATTACAACTCGGATCATGGCAACATGATTATTATGATTATTATATCCAACTTCGTTCAAATACTTGCATCATTACTATTATCAAAGAGCATCGCTTTCGCTGGTTAGGGCACGTTCTCGGTCGTACACCACAGGATTTAACGCATATTTCGTTACTTGCTAAATCGTGTGATAGTCAAAAGCGAGGTCAAGACCTAAACTGGTACGGTTAGAAAAGATTTTGAACGTATAGGTGGACCAGCAGTTTATGGACATAGACAGTGGAAAAAGGAATGGCTTCTTTTACTATCGACGATGGCATCAGATCACGCCAATTGAAGCGTCTTATTCCTGTAGCCATTGGAGCCAGCCTTACCAGTAATGGTGAGAGCTCTTAGAAGAAGAAAGAAGAATCGTAAGAAGTATCGAAAGGCAAATACAGAAATAATGGTAATGTCGCGTGCCAGGATAATGATAATGATAAGTTGTAAGATGCCGCAAAATCAAATTTTTAATTCTCGAGCTTGCATAATTAAATCGTTATAATGCGATTAAAAATTTAAATATATGTACAAAACAGAGCCTAAGATAAAACTTAATATTATTTTAAAATCGTATTATAAAACATAAAAAATCAATAAAATTTTATAAGAAAACAATAAAAGTTAAAAAAAAATCAAATTAATTATTACGCGAGTCCGTCTACGCCAAATGATTCACAAAAACTGGGTACGCTATGCAATTTTAAGATACTTATTTTTTGAATTTCGATAAAAGCTCTGTGGTTCTCGATGACTGTTTTTTGGTGAAATGTCGCTTTTTTTGTTTTTGAAAATACATTGTTTTAATACATTCCATGAGCTGAGTGGATTCTTTCTCTTTTCGGAGTCGATGCTGAGGTTCTATACCCCGCAGGAGTAAACTTGTCCAGTAGTCTGGGTAATGCTGGCGACTCACCTGTACTGCCTGTATTTCTGTCACCAAGGGACTCCCTGGCATATTTGTCCAGTACAACAAACCAGCGAGTCTAACCACTTATGGTAAGGGCTCTTAAAAAAAATAATATCTCATGAAAAAATAAATTCTGTTAGTTTTTCTGTTAGTAACATGGTCACAGTTGTATGCAATTGTTTTATTATATTTTTAGGTGTTATTACATAGCAGAAGCTTATGCGAACCAGCGCAAATGGGAAGAGGCTATTCTCTTATATGTTCACACTCTTAACTCTCTGAATTATGTGCAGAAATTATTGATTAATATCGCGAATAACAAATATGTTGATGAAAATCAGGTCAGACCCTCTTTATTATTGTGAATGTACAAATAGTTTAATCTTCAAGATTATCGTTCACAGAATCCATAAAATAAGACATGGTACTTTCAGGAGGACTTGAATGGTCTTTTTGGCAAAATAACTTCTTCTAAATTTACCGCTCAAGCAAACCGACTTTCAGAAGCAGCAAATGACGATGTGGAAGAAAGGAAAGGGATTCCGGAGAAACGAGTAAGCGAAATCTTATTTCTTAAGATTTCAATATTTTTTAAGCCTTATAAAATCTTGATTCAGCTTTTTATCTATTTTTTAATATGAATAACAGTACCTTCAGCCACTCATTGAAAAACTGGACGCATATCAAAAAATCGATCCTGATCATTTGCTTGGTCGCGATGGGAATTTCACTTTTCCGGTTGTACAGCTACCACCGCATTTTTTATCAATGCCCAATAAACCCTTATTTTTTGATTTAGCATTAAATCACATTCAGGTTATTTTCTGATACAGTATATTTTAGCAAACTATTTGAAAATCGATGGATGTTGTTTGAAGACGGTTAAATATTTTATTATAATTAATTAAGATGCCCGATCTGGAAGAGAAAATCGCATCACTTAGTGCAATAGAAGCTGTCAATACATCGCCAATGAAAAAGCGAGAAGCTGCTGTAAAAAAAATTAATGCAAGTGCAAAAGATATTCAGCCAAACAAGCAACAGGGATTTAGCGGTTTTATGAAAGGATGGTTCTGGAGCAAAAAGTGATTGTAGATTTCAAATACTTGTTCCATTTTTAATTATTGTGTTTTAAAAGTCTGTTCCATTTGAATTGTAAATTGTAAAAATTAGTTCAAATTTCAAATTTATATTCAATACATTCAAATTTTTTCAATCCTTTGGGTATTTTTTTTTCTATTTTCATTGCGCTTCTCTCATCGCCAGTTTTTTGGTCTTTTTAGCATGCACAAATTTATATCATAGCGTTAAGATAGATAGCAGATACTGTTATAACCAACTGTTTTGCTGTAAAAGATTATATTAAATCTTTCCTCACATCCAATTTAATTTATTCGTTTTGTTTGTTGTATTTTTTTTATTTCTTTAAGATCGACACAATTTTTTACACAATTCATTTAATCTTGCTATATTATTGCGAGATATGAATGATGAAAGTGGAGGATATTAAGAAATATTTTTGGTCACTTAAATCAAAGATACGTTTTACGGGTTCACCGAGCGAATAAAATCTTGCATGATTGCATCCAGCTTCGTTCAAATACCACCTGCATTAACAAAGTACAATCACAGAGCATTGCCTTCGTTGGTTAGGGCATTCTTCGTCGTTCAGCACAGGAGTTGACGCATATTTCATTACTTGCTAAGCCGTGCGGTGGATGACGTCGAAAGTAAAGAGGCTCAGTCAGACTTAAACTAATACAGTTAGAGAATCTGAACCAAGTGGACCAGCGATAGATTAAGACGGTGGAAGAATGAATGGCTTCTATTACTGTTAGCAGTGGCGTGGGATCGAACAACTTGTTAAGTCTCACTCTTAGCCAGCTGAGTGAGCCTAACAAATAATGATGAGAGCTGTTAGAAGAAAGAATATTATTTAAAAATTATTTATGAAATTATATTTGAAATATTTCCAGCGTTATCGTTTGTGAATGGTTTTCAGATATTTTGTTATTTAAAAACGTTTCAAATAATTTTTTTTCTTTCGTTTAAAAAATTCTGGAGTTAAAATATAAATTCCATGAAAAATAAAACGTCTTCAATCTTGAATTCATATGTTCTATAACGATTTATTTT